AAATACATGAACTATGCTATTTTTATTTTTATAAAGAATTTTAGTTTAAAAAAAAATTTTAAACTAGACTATTTCTGATCTGTCTATAAAATACATTCATATTTCCATAACTTTTTGGTTATTTTTAGTTGCCATTTATGCTCAAAATTGCTCAAATTTGGATAAAACTGACTTGGTCACTACATCTACATCAATTTCTAATGCATCTTTGTTTATGACTTTTAAATGTTGTAGTTCTCTTTGTGGTAAAAAGGAGTTCAACTTCAAAATCTATTTAATATCTCTAAGCTCTCTAGATTATAAATCTAAACTTCTTCCAAAACCCAGGTCTCCATAACCTCAGTAACTGAGCAAGATAGAAAGAGGTTTGGGTCATAACAAGTTTCTATTCTTATGAGAATATACTGTGTATTAAGGAGGGAGGACCCCATTCTAATAGCACCCAAGCCAAACTAAACCCAGGACCACGGAGTCAATTCCAACTCACAGCAACTCTGCATAGGGGTTCTGAGACTGTGAACCTTTACAGGAGCAGACACCTTCAACTTTCTCCTGTGGTACAGCGGTGGGTTTGAACTACCCACCTTGCACTTGCAGCACAATGCTGAACCCGCAGAACCACAAGGCCCCTTATCCAAATGGTAAAGTGATTTTTTTTAATGAGTGAAATGACTCTATGTTTCCAAAAATGATGATAGAGAAGAAAGTTTCTAGGGTTAGGAAGTTCTCAAAGTAACAGAGGGCTCTGACAGAAAAGTTTAGGTAGATGGACTGTTGGTGAGCGGGTTATCTATTAGGTAGATGGACTGTTGGTAAGCGGGTTATCTATTTGGTAGATGGACTGTTTGTAGCGGGTTATCTATTTGGTAGATGGACTATTGGTAAGTGGGTTGTCTATTTGGTAGATGGACTGTTGGTAAGTGGTTGTCTATTTGGTAGGTGAACTGTTGGTAAGCGGGTTATCATCTATTTGGTAGATGGACTGTTGGTAAGCGGGTTATCATCTATTTGGTAGATGGACTGTTGATAAGCGGGTTAT